AAAAAAGAAAAAAAAAAAAGAAAATTAGCCAGCCATGGTGGTGCACACAAAATTCCAGCTACTAGGAAGGCTGAGGCTGGAAGATCCCCAGAGCTCAGGAGTACAAGGCTGCAGTGAGCTATGATCAGGCCACTGTACTCCAGCCTGGGTGACAGAGTAAGACCCTGTCTCTAAAACAAAAAACAAAACAAAACAAAACCCAAATGTGTTCCCTTCAGACACGGAGAACACGAAGCAGGGTGTACTGTCTGCCTTCTGCACTTTCTCTGATCCACCTAGACTGTGGCTTCCACTCACTTTCAAAAGACATCAGGGAAGGAAAAAGATGAAAAGAAAAACCCACTAGAAAGCTAGTGACAGACATCACTCAGCCCCACACCTTTGGGGGGGAAAACGTTAAAAAACATAAAACAAACCACAAAGTCTTCTTTATTTCTGCCTGAAGTTGAAGACACAAATGCTATTGTATTGCTGGTGTTCTAGCATCCCATTGAATCATTGCAACACCCTCCATGATATTTCCCAAGATGACTTCACTGTGTTCTGTGGGGTAGTAACTGCAGCTTCCAACTACTTCTGCCCCATGTGGATAGTTCCAATGGAAGACAAAGAATCTGTTCTGCTCTGATATTTGAAAGAAAAACATTTAAATATGCCTGTTAACTCAGCAGGGGGACACTGCTTTCCTTTCAGAATGTAGGGTTCAAATCCACTGATGGGGTGGCACTGCACCTTCTTCATGGGAGAGGCCCAACTCTAAGGAGAAAACTGGAGCCTTACGAGGAAAAAGTTGGCTGGGCATGGTGGTTCACACCAGTAATCCCAGCACTTTGGGAGGCCGAGGCAGGCAGATCATGAGGTCAGGAGTTTGAAATCAGCCTGACCAACATGGTGAAACCCTGTCTCTATTAAAAACACAAAAGTTAGCTGGGCATGGTGGCATGCACCTGTAATCCCAGCTACTCAGGAGGCTGAGGCAGGAGAATCTCTTGAATCTGGGAGGCAGAGGTTGCAGTGAGCTGAAATAACACCACTGCACGCCAGCCTGGGTGACAGAGCGAGACTCCGCCCCAAAAAAAAAAAAAAAAAAGTATTTAAGGACTCATAAGGACTTTCCAAGTACTCAATGCAAATAAGATTTTAAGTAATTTTCTTCAATCATACACCTGTATATCTGTCAAATTGTCTTTCATTGATATTCTCTGATGTTAGAGAATGCTCTCCCATTTGCACACTAGAAATTGCATTTGAAAGTTTATAGCCATTCATTCTTCCATACCTGCTAAAATGAAAGAATGTTGCTCTAGGGAGTGTGGGAATATTACTCTTGAAATCTCTTCAGAGAAGAAAAAAATGTGGCAACTTGCTTACTTCAAGTTACAAAGTTTATGGAATATATTGTATCTTAATTTTTAAATGTACACTCCTCTTGTCACCAAATAATATTTAATACTGTTCATTGGGTTTGTGAACAAACATTTAGTACGTACTAGCTGTCAGTCACTATGTTGGCATTGGGAGTATAGAGTATGTTGAATACTATTAAGAATTCACCGATTAATTAAAGACATTCTAGGCTTCTCCCACCTCAGAGTCTTATATTTTCTGTTCCATCTGCCTGGAACACCCTTTACTTTGCTTTCTACATGACTGGCTTATTCTGTCATTAGCTCTCAGCTCAGTTGTTACCTCCTCAGGGATGTCTTTCCCTACCACTGTAACTCAGTGTGCCAGCTCCATCATTCTGCTTACTTTATATCTTGTCATTTTGTTTACATAGTGGTACTAATTATTTCATCTGTTTACCATCTGTCTCTCTTGAAGAACACAAGCTTCATGAGGGCAGAGACATTCTTTTATTTTTATTTTTAAGATCCAGAGTACATGTGCAGGATGTACACAAGTAAATGTGTGGCATGGTGATTTGCTGAACCTATCAACCCAACAACACCTAGGTATTAAGCCCCGCATGCATTAGCTATTTTTCCTAATGCTCTCCCTTCCCCAACAGGCCCTACTGTGTGTTGTTCCCGTCCCTGTGTCCATGTGTTCTCGTTGTTCAGTTCCCACTTATAAATGAGAACATGCAGTGTTTGCTTTGCATTAGTTTGCTGAAGATAACAGCTTCCAGCTCTATCCATGTCCCTGCAAAGGACCTGATCTTATTCCTGTTTATGGCTGCATAGTATTTCATGGAGTATATGTACCACATTTTCTTTATCCAGTCTATTATTGATGGGCATTTGGATTGGTTCCACGTCTTTGCTATTGTGAATAGTGCTGCAGTGAACACATGTGTGCATGTATCTTTGTAATAGAATGATTTATATCCCTTTGGGTATATACCCAGTAATGGGATTGCTTGATCAAATGGCATTTCTGGTTCTAAATTTTTGAGGAATTGCCACAAAATTTTTGAGGAATTGCCACTGTCTTCCACAATGGCTGAACTAATTTACATTCCCACCGACAGTATAAAAGCATTCCTATTTCTTCACAACCTCTCCAACATCTGTTGTTTCTTAACTTAATAATGTGTCATTCTGACTGGCCTGAGATGGTGTCTCATTGTGGTTTTGACTTACATTTCTCTAATAATCAGTGATGTTGAGCTTTTTAAAAATATGTTTATTGGCCCCATGAATGTCTTCTTTTGAGAAGTTCTATTCATGTCCTTTCCCCGCTTTTAAATGGGGTTGTTTGGTTTTTTCTTGTACGTTTGTTTAAGTTCCTTGTAGCTCATGGATATTAAACCTTTGTCAGATGGATAGATTGCAAAAATTTTCTCCCATTCTGTAGGTTGCCTGTTCACTCTGATGATAGTTTCTTTTGCTGTGCAGAAGCTCTTTCATTTAATTAGATTCCATTTGTCAATTTTTGCTTCTGTTGCAATTGCTTTTGTTGATTTTATCATGAAATCTTTGCCTGTGCGTATGTCTTGAATGGTATTGCCTAGATTTTCTTCAAGGGGTTTTTATAGTTTTGAGTTTTACATTTAAGTCTTTCATCCTTCTTATTCAACATTGCATCCTTGGTGCTTAGCATTGTATCCATAGTGCTTGACACATGGTAAGCACTGGGTAAACAATTATTGAATGAGCATACATGCTAAGAACTATAATATGTCATTGTAACTACAGTAATATACAAGTTGTAGGCATCCTGAAGAACAGAGCGATTTACTGTACCTAGAAGAGCAGGGAATTATGCTTTGCCAGAGAGATAATGCATGTTTGAGCTGGCTCATAAAGGAAGAATGAAAATTTGTCAAGTAGACTGTGGGAGAAAGGGCATTCACCATAGATGGCAGAGTATATGCAGAGGCCACAAAGTGTAAACTAATGTGGTGTGTATTTAGGGGGTGCTGAGCAGGTTAGGATTGCTGAAAAGTAAAAGCCTAGCAGGTAGCCAAGGGTGCTAAATGTGGAGAGTGGACAGGGGCCTTGCTTGTTATGCTAAAGAATTCAACAATGGGCAGCTATGAAAAATCTGTAAGCAGGGATATGACACAATCAAGTGATTAGGTAATTTAGAAAGACACCAGAATAGTACAAGGAGAGGAAAGGGTAATGACAAGACCGATTAGGAAGTAATTCCAGTTGTCTAGTTGAAAAATCAAGAGAGTCTCAACTCTGTGAGTAACTCTATAGAGCAGTGAGTGTCAATCCTGACTACACCTCAGAATCTGTAGGTTTTTACATTAATATAGACTCTTCTACTCAGATGTAGGAACTGCCAAAATAGGGATGACTCCTCTGGCCTGTGCTTTCTTGTGATTCTCTTAATTACAGTAGGAGGAAGTTTGAGAACACTGGTCAGGAACTGGTCAGAGGAATTTTACTGTCCTATTATTCCCTATCCAAGAAGATACTAAATCAAACTTGTATACTATCTGCCCTGCTTCCAGCCCTTCTTCAAAGGTGGAATTTCCATAATCCTCAGCCAACTTTGTGAGCATGATCTAGTGATTGCTTAGAGATTTGGGAGAAAAAGTAGCAGAGAAGAGGAGTTCTGACTGCTCTTACCACTTCTTGTTGCACAGAAACTGTGGGTTAGAGGTGACGCCAGTGTTTTTATCATCTGAGACATGTAAAGTGCTTATATCTAACTGATCTTTCTTTTCTCATTCAAGGCACTAAGGGGAAGATTTTTCCCCTGTTCTCTGATAGAAACATAGAAAGCAAACCAGCATGATCTCCAGATGAACAGCTTTGAGCAAGATTTACCAAGGGTGTTATGTTTTCTTCTTCCTCCCTAGTCAGTTGAGGAGCAAGCCGTAGACAGACCCTGTCAACTTGAGACTTAAGTTGAGAACAGTAGGTAATATTCAGATGTTAAGAAGCATAGTGACAAACTCTTACAGGGTAGAGTTGTTATAAACTTAACGTGAGAGAATAAAACATGAACTGAAAGCTATTTAATAGGTTTATCTTGATTTCTATTGTAGGTGAAATTATTCTGGCCCTTCATCAGTTAGATCTTCTTCAGAAAACTATTGTCATATACTCCTCAGACCATGGAGAGCTGGCCATGGAACATCGGCAGTTTTATAAAATGAGCATGTACGAAGCTAGTGCGCATATTCCGCTTTTGATGATGGGACCGGGAATTAAAGCCAACCTGCAAGTATCAAATGTGGTTTCTCTTGTGGATATTTACCCCACCATGCTTGGTAAGTAATACAGTTCTGTAACGATTTATTTGTCATAATGCTGAAGAATGCAACTGAAGAGGTCAGTTAGTCAGTCTTTCAGTTAGAAGTCAGAGCCCCTGCTGACTTGTTTATAACCCTGAGCAACTCATTTAACTGTGAGTCCAACTGTGCTCTGAAGAATCAAGAGATTGCTTTTCTTGCTCCTGTGGCCTTCACTTATTATAGTCATTTTCCCTTCAAAAGAGTTGTATTCAGGGTGTGACTATAAGCCATGCAGGACATTCAGGTTCATAACTTTATAGATATGATTTGTACATCATTTGATTCTCTACCACCACCTCCCTAAAATGTAAGCATTTTCTTTCTGAACTATTCTATCCACTTTGAAACTAGTATGAACATATTCCTCTTCAGACTCTTCAGATAGCTCTGTACTATTTGCTTTACTAGCTTCTTAACATCTACCAGCATAGCCATATGTCTAGAAAAGCAACATATGGGTAAGGGTAGTTAGCAGTTTTTGTTGAAGATACTAGAATAACGACATAATCAAATTTGAAGGAAATCATAGAGAACTAACTGCTAGTTTCTGTCTAATTTAGCAGAATACTTTAAATTCATTAGCATTTAAACACTAGTTTATCTGTGCTAAGACCGTCAAGTGCAAAAAGTCCCATCGATTCATAAATTTTGGTGAAAGAAAAAGAATAACACAAGATATTTACATTCTCTAATTTCAGAAATGTTAAAATGTGAAAGAAAGATGCATCTTAAAGTCAAAGAAATCAGAGTTCTTTTTACCGCCTTCCTTCTGCCGCAAGTTCTTCCCTTCATTTAACTAAATTTGTTTAGAGTTCATTTACACCAGGGTCCTTTCCTTTTCTCTTTTATTTCACAACCCTTATCATATAATTGAACATACTTCTTTCCAGTTTCTTGAATTTTTAATCTCTTCTGTTTCTTAGTCATCATCTGCTGGTTTCCCTTTATCTCTAAGTAATGTTCACACTCAACCATATCTTGGCCACTTTCTCATTCCATTAGTTTCAATCTGATCACTATTACTTTTCCTCATTTCTGTGTTTTTTAAAGAAGTTTATATATAGTTATGTATATTTGTGTCTCTGTTATTAGCATCTTTAGAGTTTTATCAATATATGCCTATATTCTTTACACTTTCCTTCCTTTATTTTTCCTCATGTAGAACTCTTCCTACCCTCCCCATTCTCCCAAAAAAATCTTCCTTGGGTCATCTTTGCTTGACTTTTTAGCCTCATTCTGTTTTCTGGGGGTATAGTAACCAGAACTGCAAAAAAGTATTGTAAAAGCTGGGCTGATTCTTTCTCCATTTTTCCCCTCAATATATTTCATAGTGATAGTTGGCATTTTATCTATTTGACTCTAGCAGCTAAATAGTTTAATATCGTTAGAGAGTTATTTACAATGAGTCCTATTCAATTCTTAGACTTTCTGCCATCATATATGTTAGTTCATTAAAATGCACAGTTTAAATCATTTCTCTTTAAACATTATTTTATATTTGCCCACAATGCAAATTTTGTACTCTACAATCTTAAGAAGATACCATTATTCTTGACATCATAAAAGTTAAAGGTCACCTGCAAACTGGCAGATTTTATGATGTATAAAATGTATAAAATATAACAGGTCACATAAGAAAATGCTAAATAAAATTTGTTAGAATGCAGAAATTCTCATGCATTTACCTAGAAGGGCACCTACCTATCACTGCCTAATTCATGTTACTTGCTAATAAGAATTTCTCTAGCTAAGACAATACTGTTCCAGAAACTTCTCTACATTCTGTCCCAACTATGCTGGAAATGATATAAATTCCCTGCAACTATAGGTTTTTAACCCTGCAATTCATCAATTATAATTTTCCAAAACTATAGTTTTATATAGATTTTTATTTTTCATCAGATCCTTGGTAATAGACTCCTTCTAAGTCACATTTCCCTGCAGAATATATTTTATTAACAGCATTTAGATCACGTGTTGACTAATAAAGGAACTAAAGTCAAAAACAAATGTCTCTAATTCTAAACTGTAAAATTAACATCTTCATGGCTTAGCACAGTTTACAATGTGTTTCATAATAAATATTTTTATTATCAGAAGGAAGAAAGCTATATTTAAATGATTTTTTTGCTTGGGAAAGAGCAAGTGGAGGAGAATACCTATGGATGGGTCTTTATATAAAACACTGAAATATTCTGTTACCCAGATGTTAACCAGTGATACAGTAGAAAGAGAAAGATGCAACAAGAAAGGGCCTTGTGCTGGAGCCAGGAGACAACACTGTAACACAATTATTTACTTAAACTAATCTTTTTGTAAACGATAAAGGCTTAATATTCATAGAGCTCTTCTAAATCTGTAAGAAAAAAGAGGAATACCTTATTAACAGATTTATCAAAAAAATAAGCAATTCACAACAGAAAATAGACACAAATGGCCAATATATTTTTAAAGAGTCAAAGTCAGGGTCATAAAAATATTAAAACAGGAAAATGTTTTTCTTTCACATATAAAGTTTGCAAAAGTTAAGGAGGGTTAGAAAATTTTATATTAGAAATAGGTCCTTCTCATATACTGCTACTGGGAATATAAACTGATACAAATGTTGTGTAGGCAAATGGCATTACGTTTCAAATTTCTTATGTGCATACATTTTGACCTAGAAATCCTAATTTTAGGAAATAACCTGTAGATATACACATATGTTTATCTCCATGGATATTTATTACCATATTAAGAAGTAGAAACAATAGGAATATCTAGTAGTAATGGATTAGATTAAAAAAATAGTCAATTCTAATGCAAATCAAAACCACAATGATATCATCTCACAATAGTCAGAATAGCAATTATTAAAAAGTCAAAAAATGACAGATGTTGGTGTGGCTGCAGAGAAAGGAGAACACTTGTACACTAGGAGAACACTTACACACTTTTGGTGGGAGTATAAATTAGTTCAGCCAGCGTGGGAAGCAGTTTGGAGATTTCTCAAAGAACTTAAAACAGAGCTATCATTGGAACCAGCAATCCCATTACTGGGTCTATACCAAAAAAATAAAAATCATTCTACCAAAAAGACATGCACTTGCAGCACTATTCACAATAGCAAAAGCATGGAATCAAACTAGGTGCCCATCAGTGGTGAACTGAATAAAGAAAATGTGGCACATATACACCATAGAATACTACAAAGCCATAAAAAATGAATGGCAGCAACATGCATGGAGCTGGAGGCCATTATCCTAAGCAAATTAACACAGTAACAAAAAACCAAATCCCAGATGTTCTCACTTATAAGTGGGAACTAAACATTGGTTACTCATGGACATAAAAACGGCAGCAAGAAGCACTGGAGACTATTAGAAGGGAGACAGAGGGAGGGAGAGGGCCAGAGGTTGAAAAACTGTTGGGCACAATGCGCAGTACCTGGGTGATGCCATTGCTCCCACCCCAAACCTCAGCATCAAGTAATATACCCAGGGAACAAACCTGCACATGTACCCACTTAATCTGAAATGCTGAAAAAAAAAAATAGTCAACTAATTTTAAAAAGTGAAATATGTGAAAATTGCCCCCATGTATTAAAAAGAAAATGAAGGCTTTAAAATAGTACAAATTGATTTTTTTGTTTTGTTTGCTTTTTAGATACTGTATCCATCCAATTTACTGTCTAAATTAGCACGTTTTTAGAGTACTATTAACAATTACACCAGCATTAACAGGAAGATACTGAGGCTGTTCCTTTTTTAGCAGCCTTAGGAGCCAAGAAAGCAAAGATAATTCTGATGGTCTACGTTTAATCTGATGGATCATCCAACCTTTTAAGATAAAATTCCTCAGTGCTGGAAGAGTTTAAAGCTACTCTATTAGTAATTAACTCTAAAATTAGACCTGTGAGACAGTATGTTCTACTTTACCTCTGCTTAATACACAAACTTATACATATTTTGATAAACATCTGCAAAAGACTTATTTTGTTCTAACCAATCAGAAGCTTAAAATAGATATAAGCCAGTATCTATTCTTAGAGGTCTCAAAGTCCTTTCTTTATTAGCTTAGCTGTAGCTGTATTATTTTGTATGAATCCCTTTACACACACAGAGGAGAATCTTACAAAGAAAAGTTATATAAAGAGAAAAATTTGTTTTGAAATTGATTTTTCAAGGATAAACTTTGCTTATAGTATATTTGAGTTTTAAAATACTTGAGTCTTCTGGAAACTAAAAGTGAAATTACACTTCTGGTATCAAAAAAAAAGAAAAAAAAAATCTCAAGCCAAAACCTCAAATGATACTTCCTCCTCCCTTCCATTCTATGGACCTTAGAAATGTGTAAAAGATGGTTATCCAGAAAACCATCAGTAGAAAGCTATTCAATAGGAAAAACCAATTGGGATTCCTGTTTTAATAAACCTACCTTACTTTCAAGAGTCTGTTGAAATTTAAGATGCTACAATGCTTTATTTAAAAGTTGGGATTTACAAGTCATTTTTAGAAGGTATTTTAAGAGTGTTTTAAAAAAATATTTTATGATAAAGCAGGAAGAATATGCCTAGTTTATTTGTGCTTATGGGTCAGATAAACTAATTCTATCACTAGAATGATATAATACATGATCATTTCCTAATAGCAGCAGAAAAATGACATTTATGAATAGGAATTCTTTATAATATTAATAATAAAGTCAATATTATTATTTCTGAGATTATTACTTAAAAATTACTTCCCAAAATATTTTCTTCTGTAATACCTAGTACCAGCATTCTTTAGCTCAGTGAGTACTAAAAGTGTCTCATTTTGTAGTTAAAATTGTTTTGAACTTATTTTCATGTAAATTGTTTTCTAATAGTCTTTCTGTAAAACACCTGCTTTTCTCCACTTTAAAGATAAGTCTAGATTTTTAAAATTTTGAGAATGTAATTATATAAAAATGCAGTTGTAGTTAAAAGACTATTTCATCACTAGTGATTTAAATTGCACAACCCTTCTTGTTACAGGATCTTAGTGGAAGCCTGGGGGTTGGCAGGCGTTTTGCATAGATTCTTATGTTTTTATTGGCTGAGAAATACTATGAAGTTGACTAACTACAGTAAGGCAAGTCTTATGGTATAGCATTAAACAGTAGAGAGATTATAAGGCCGGACTGACTAAGTTCAAACCCCTCTTCACTCGTTACCAACTGCGTGACCTTGGGCAGTTACTCAACATGTCTGGTCTTCAATTTTCTCATCTATAAAAAGGGGGATAGGCCAGGCGTGGTGACTCACACCTGTACCCCCAGTACTTTGGGAGGGCGATGTGGGCAGACCATTTGAGGTCAAGAGTTCAAGACAAGCCTGGCCAACATGGTGAAAC